AATAACACAAACTTGACACTTCCCTAATACTTTAATCTGACAATCTCAGCACACTTAACTAACAGCGATTAATTAACCCTTACATGATTCCTGTCAGGGCATCCTGATTACACTCATTTCACAAATTAAATGCTAAGAGGTAGTGGAACAACAAGACAAGGTTACACAGTGTTTCTGACAGAACAGGGACCCAAGAGCCCTGGCCCTGGCTGGGACTCCCAGGCAGTCAGCAAACAAGTACTGATCCTGAGACCACATTGCTATGTGTTTTGTCACGAAATTCCCATTTCATACAAAATTTCTGAGTGGCCAATCAGAGGCCAGTTTCATTATATCCAGTCAAAATTCTCATCTTCTTGTATCACAAAAGCAAGGATAACTTGGAAATCTGTAAGGGCATCTTATCTAGAGTACAGATACCAAGAAGGATGAGAAATAGGAGAAAGACTCAGCGTACAAGAAGAGCAGGAGGAGGAGAAGGAAGTCAAGGAGGAGAAGCCTTGCTAGATTTATTTTAATTAGTAAAATGTGACCAAGGTAGAAGCTTGGCCCTGATGGAATAATGCTGATGCTTACAGGTGTCAATTGGGATGACTGTAATGTATACTAACCAACGAGATTTAGAAAGTCAGTTTTCTGCACTGTGGATATGAAATCCCCACTTTTTATTTCTCATGCTATCTCACAGAATATAAATGAAAGAAGCTTCTCTTGAGAAGTTTTTTTTTCTCAAAAGTGTCTTTAGTGAAAATTAGAGTTAGTAAAGTTTACCTGTGGGACCCACCACCAAGACTCCCCACTTGTCAATGCAGCCAATGGCGAACAGCTGACTCACACTTATACGACTCTCATAAACACATCCCAGATGTGTTCTCAGTGTCTGTCTTCCCTCTCCTTGGCCACGTCTGTATTTGTATGTATGTCTATGTGTTTCCCTTGGCCTGAGTATGACTTTTAATCTTCCACCACTCCATGATATCTAACCCTGAGGCAAGTTCTGCTATTCCAATCTCACCATCCCCTACTTAGGATCACCAAAGTCTCCAGTCCAGCCATCTCACATTCCATCATTCCCTCAGTAACCATTAAAGCTAATTTTTCAGTATCAGATCCCACTGACAAAGCATAATCATGTCATGTCCCTTATCCATCCCTCTGATGATAAATATTTTATCTTTATTATTATTATTTAAATAGACATAAAATTTTATCCATTTATTACATATGCCATCATGTCTTATTATACACTGGGGGATAACTAAATCTAGATAATTACTATATGCATTATTCATACAATTAATAATTATCTGGTGAAAATATACTATCCAATCCATCAGCATTTTAAAGATTTACTCCTTTTAAGTAACAGATATTTTATGTTCTTTGACCAACTCAAAATGAACATCTGGCCCATCCTCAAATGACCCCAACCCTTGGCACCAAAAATTCTATTCTCTACTCTGTACAAACAGGGTTTTTTGTTTTTCATTTGTTTTTGTTGTTTATTCCACATATAAGTGAGATCATTGTCCCCTTGCTTGGTTTAATTCACTTAACATAATGCCTTCCAGGTGCATTCATATTGTTGAAGAGTAGCACTATAACTTCCGTTTGATGCCAGAATAATGCAATATTGTCACATATTCCTTATTAATTCATTTTCTGAAAATACTTAAGAGCATGTACAATGCAATTTAAGGCAGAGTGAGATGCATTTCATGAGTGGCAGTGTGCTGGATTAGGAAGCTAGAATAAATCACCACAGCCGATGACTCCACAGTGACTATTCCAGGATTCCCTACTTAAATGAACTCTTATTCTGCCAAGTTATAAATGCTTCCTACATGATGATAATAACCTTGGTCCTTTAATGTAAATTACTAAAACTTTTTTCCTGTTCTCTAATTCTGTCTTGTATTATGCTTTACCACTGTATTCTTTGAGTACCATTACTTCAGCACCTTTAACATATGCAGTTAAAATGAAATGAAGGCACTTTCTCAAGGAAGTGCTTATTAAAAATATGCTTAGGATCCTCCTTTTTCCTCATCTTAAATTTTCTTGACATTTCATACCATCTAGTGTACTATGTTAGTTATTTTTTATCACTACATCTGAGGTCATAAATTAATGGTTTGTTCGTGTGTGTGTGTGTGTGTGTGTGTGTGTGTGTGTGTTGCATTATGTATGTATGTGAGTATGCAATATTATATGCATATGTAGAAAGGGAAGAATAGGAAGCCAGACTTTCTCTATGATTCTTTGTCTTATTGTTTGAGCTATGGTATCTTAGTGAAATGGAAGCTCTATATTTCAGGTTGGGTGGCTAGGCAACAGGTCTTGGCAGCTTCCTGTCTCTCTCTTACAGTGTTGGTGTATACAGTCATACACAGGCATTCCCAACGATTACATAAGATATTACTCATTGAACTTCTTACAAGTTACCAAAATGGGATTTTTTTTTTTATTTTACAATACTATTCAGTTCTACATAACAGATTCCCTTGTTCTCCCCCTTCCTGCCCCCCTCCCCTTCCCCCCAGCTCACCCCCATTCCCACCACCTCCAGATCAAGGCCACCCCCGAGGACTGAGATCGACCTGATAGACTTTTTTTTTAAATATCAAATTAGTAGATGAAGTTTCTGCATTTCTGAAATCTCAGAAGTAATACTAATAGTGTTGCCCAGAGACTCAAGATACATTTATAAATTGGAAAAAGTTGATTATGAAAAATAGAAAATGTGATAACATTGTAGCTGAAGTCCTTATCAGGCACATTTATTATACAACTGTGTTCCACTTGAACAGAACCATGCATTCCAGTGACTTAATGGTTGAACTTACATGCATTTGATCATACTTTAAGTGATTTTCTTTTTTTAATTAAGAAAAATTTTTATTCATTTTACATTCCAAAGATCCCCCTCTTCCCTGCTTCTGCCCCTCCAGCTTCCCCACTCCCAACCCACTCCCATTCCCTCCTACAAGAAGGTAAGGACTCCCGTAGACAATACATTTAGTAGAGGCCCCTTAAGCAGATCAAACTACACAACTGTCTTGATATGCCCACAGTGGTCATGATCTTGATGCCCCTTGCTCATAGAATCCCTCTTCTCTTCCTCTTTGACTGGACTCCTGAGCGTTGCTCAGGAAAGGGCCATCAAGGTCATGATGGGGAAACCTACAGAGACAACCAAACCAAGGGAGTGGGAACTCATGAACTTTAGACCAACAGCTGTAGAGCCTCCATGGGACTGGACTAGACCCTCTGCATAAACGAGACAATTGTGGAACTTGATCTGTTTAAGGAACCCCCTAGCAGTAGGATCAGGATCTGCCCCTGGTAAATGAGCTGGCTTTTTGGAGACCATTACCTATGAGGGTCTTGGAGCTGCCTCAACCGAATGTACCATGCCCTGCTGACTCCCCATGGGAGGCCTTACCTTTTCGGAGGAGAGAATAGGGGTAGTCTAGGAGGGAAGGCTGGGGGTGGGGAAGTGGGAGGAAGGAATAGAGGGGGATCTGTGATTGGTATATGAAATGAATAAACAAATTTCATAATAAAAAGTAGGGTAATGCTTAGTATTCTAATATATAGCTATCATTTAAAATTCCATATGGCAAACACAACTTACTGTCAGTATACACAAATCTAATGGATTATTTTTCCATAGCAAATGACAATTTAATTACCCAATGAATATTCATTCATCACTCAAAAATGGAAACAAATAGGCACAAAGAGTAAACTAGTCATGTCATCACTGAAATATATAAGCACATGTAGTATATGTATTAACAGAGTTCTCAGAACATAATTTTTAATTCTAAGAATATACTGTGAATATATTTCATACATTTTTGTTTTTATTTCTGAAACATTCCTTTAAAATTTTTGTTGTGTATTTTTATTCTTTCAGTGTGTGTGTGTGTGTGTGTGTGTGCGCGCGCGCGTGTGTGTATGTGTGTGTGCGTGTGTGTGTTCCTAGCATGCATGTGTTCCACAGTGGTCCCCTGTAGTTAGAGGACTACTTGCAAGAGTCATTTCTCTCCTTTGACTGTGTGGGTCCCATGAAACCTACTCAGGCCATCAGACTTGATAATAAGTGCCTGCTGATCCCTCTTGGTGGCCTGGGAAATCTCATTCCTTACAATGTGATGTCTACCATAAGTAGACAACACTCTCACTTACAGTGTACTTCAGCTTTCATTTTTAGTTTCAGTGATGTTTTAGGACATGGGCCTCACTCTATAGCCACAATTATCTTTAACTCATTGTGTAGCACAGGGTACCCTTCAAAATGCCCAGTTTTACGTCACAAACATAAATGGCAACACAAATCTAGCAGGAACTTGCTGTGAGCATACACGGAGGCCTACCTAAGCCCTGCTGAGTGTATATCCCATCTCATTGTTTACACAGATTCCCCAATAAATCAGACAAATGGCTGAAGCTCTTAATGTTTTCCCTACAAAAATACGTTCTTCCACCTCAATACTACCTTCCCAGTTGCCATGAGCTTCTCTCATGGACACCTGTGAAACACACACTACAAAGGACACTGAATAGAACAGCAAGTTGGCTCAGTGGGAAAAGGCATGTGCTCTTAGGCCTGAGAACTTCAATTAGGTGCCTAGTGACCAGATGCTGAAGTGAGAGAATCAATTCGTACAAGTTTTCCTCGGACCTGTATACGTACATGGCACATGCACACATACATGTGTGTGTGTGTATATATACACATACGTGTGTATATATAAAGGAAATAAATTTATTCATAATAGAAAGGAAGAGGATTCTGACAATCAAAAATTCTTTTCCTTAAAGGAATGACAGTGTTGAAAAAGAGACATGAGAAATACCCATTGGATGTTACATAAATCAGACTCATCGCCATGATTCTTCAGGGAAGACTATGGCGGAATTTTTTCTCAACAGACTATATTGGTCGTTTACTTAACTTTTGAAAGCTGTAAAGAAACTGTTTTCAGTGCTCTTTCTGCTTCGGCAGGACATATACTAAAACTGGAAAGATACAAGGAAGATGAGCATGGCCTCTGAGCAACGATGACACACAAGTTCGTGAAGAAACAGAATCTTAGATTCTGAGAATTAAGTCACATGGACACATCAATTTTACACCTAAAATCCAATTTGTTCTTTGTTTGAAAGGTCGTTCTGTCTGGTGAACACTCAAATTTGATAGAGAGATTAAAAAATAAATAAAAAGAAAAGAAACAGAGATCCCTAAGCATGCAGCTGCCTTTTGTATTCCCACTATTGCGTTTGAGGAGTTGAACTTGAACACTAAAAGCCATGCTACACTAAACACAAGAAACATTCCATATATAAAATTCCAGAGGCAAAAATTTGTTAAAATTTATACATAAAAATTAGTGGTCTCATCAATTGTACTAAGTTATAAATCATCAAAAAAAAACTTTTAAAAAGCATTAGTTGGGACAAAAATAAGAAATAACATGATTTATAAATCAAATAAAAGCAGGATTAACTTCAGTATTGATAATAGATATTTTTCTATTTATGAAGGTGAATATTTCAAGTTATAATGTGTTAAAGGTGCTGCTGCTTAGCAAATCTGTTTGAGAGAAGCTGTAGGAAATCTTCTCTGAAACATTTACGGTAAAGTTTACTCATATCAGTTTGGTCATAACCTATCCATTCTATTATGAACCAAGCTAATTAACTCTGCCTGTCCCAGGCACAGAGCTAGCCTCAGTTCATCTTGTCAATGGAGAGGTAGAGACTCCAAACCTCAGGAAAAAAAAAAAAAAAACAGTCTCTCATTTGAATGCATTGACTCTTATGCAGGATAAATGACAACCATTAACACAGAAAGCATTCATACATTAATGTCAAATGTTAATAGCAAATTGATAATTTACCAGGAAATTCTCAGATTTTACTACATTGAAACAAGAGATCCTGTGACAGAACTGTTGAGGTAACATAGCCTTTCTGGTATTCACCTGCACGAGACTGGAGATGATTGTAATCTACTGAGTATGAGAAATTCTAATGATTCCCTGTCCACTCATCTGTGGCAGGAAATTCCATTATCATCACACTTTGCTTAGAACAGATTACAATGGAAGGAATTTTAAATACTTCTGAATAATTTATTTTCTCTTCTGCCTCTTTCATCATTTTTTTTTTGAGACAGAGAATTGCTATGTAGCCCAAGCTAGCCTTGAGCTCACAATATTGTCACTGTGCTTTGCAGATTTGGAAATTACAGATTCTGAAAATACCCAGAGGCCTTTGATAAATCTTTAAACTCACTTTCAGATGTATGTCACTGGAAAAAGTCAAGAAATGAGATTATTTAACCAGAGTATCACCACTCTGTTTTATACATATTTTAACAAGGTAAATTTGAGAATGTAACAGAATTCAACAGAATTTTCAAGTTTTAAATTTTTAAAAATAATATTTCTCCATGGATCATATTATTTTATTACACTACCAATTATTATTTTTAAATCATTCAGTATTTCACTTCATTAGTAGAGAAAACCACATAAATGTACAACAGAGACTCTGACATAGCACAGTATAGGAGAATTAAAATTGGATGAAACCATGCAAATATCTACAAACTATAGGTAAACAAACAAATAAAAAGACTAACAACCCAAAGGAAATGTCATATCTGCTAACAAAATAATGGTAGGAATTAATGTTATATATGGTTATTGAAGCAATCATCTACATAACCTATTGAATTGCAAATGACATGGCATACTCTTCTGCAAAGAAACATGTCAGATTATAACATAAATAGAAAGTTTCCACCTTTCCTCAAATTATTTTCCTTATAAGGAATTTTTCTGGTTTCTAGCTCAAAGTGTTATTTGAGGCAGACTTTTCAACAGATCATTGGTCTTCAACTCATATCAAAATAGTTCCAATTGGTTAGAGACCAAACACTTAGAATCTGTGAGCCAGTTTACACATTTCTCTTCATTAATGGGTTATCTGGTATTTTGTTATAGTACTAGAAAGGTGAGGAGTATGGAGTAGTTTTATTCAACATTATTGTGATGATAAAAATCATTCAACAACCTAATCTTTCATGAAGATTAAAATTAATTAATTACTGTAAATCTATAGAAATGCAATAGGAGTAAAAAGTTAAAAATATTTATTGGGAAGGCAATATCATTAATATAATCTTATGACAGAAAATTAACAATAGAGGCTATTTTAAAAACCCGGTAATAGTTTGTCAAACAGAACTAGAAGGAATTCTTCTGGGAAAATAAGTTCAAAGAAAGCCAGCCATATTTGTAATGATGTGTTATGTTGACTTAATAATTATATGAATGTTTACATTTTCTTTTTTTATGTGGCTTTATTGTAGAAGACAAATGTTATGGTCTTATTTTCATTTCTTGTCCCAAAACAAAGATATGTTATTAAAACTGTTTTATTTGCTGTCTTTTCTTTAAAAATAGCCCATTATCTAAACACAGTATTAAAAGTAGCATTTATTTTTAAATTATTTCCATAGCTGATTGTGGTGACTTACATCTATGAATGATGTCAACAACCAAGAAGTTGACATTGAATGACTGCTAATTGAAAACCAACCAGGAACACATAATCAGTTCTAGGCAAGTCTTGACTGCATTTTACAAACTAATATATGTTTGTGTCTATCACTCCTTACCTACTTATCTATCTATCTATCTATCTATCTATCTACCTACCTACCTACCTACCTATCTATGCATCTTACTTTCTATCATCTATCTCTTTTACACACAAGAAGTTCTCTCTCTCTCTCTCTCTCTCTCTCTCTCTCTCTCTCTCTCTCTCTCTTGCTTTCTCTCTCTCTCGCTTTCTCTCTCTCTCTCTCTGTGAGAGAGAGAAAGAGAGAGAGAGAGAGCGAGAGAGAGCGAGAGAGAGAGAGAGAGAGAGAGAGAGAGAGAAGAGGGGGAAGAGATATTTGCAAAGAAGCACATGAAATTCTTGTCCAAATTAGTCAGCTCAAGTTATCTTTTACAAAAGAATATAGAAAATGTTATAAAGACTGTTTATTATGTAGTCATTACTAGAAAATAATTTGGATCATATGTATTTTAGAATATATCTGTAACTGGAACCTCACTGATCTATTTTACATAATCTGTTCTACATGTTCACACATGTGAGGCCATTCAGCACTTTCTCAGTGCTTTTAGAGCTAAGGTTTATGTACCTAACCATGCCCTTGGGCTCTTTATCAGACAAAGTTTGTGAACTTTCAAAAAGAATAAACTATAACTGATGAAAAATTAGTCACATATATACAGAATTTTCATGTATCAGAAGGCATACTGATACCACATTTCGAGAAGTGCCATCAGCCATAATTCATGGTGACCATCACTAACTGTGACACTCCTAATGAGCTCCTATTTTATGCCTCATCTGGAAACAGGAATTAGCTAATACCTAATCATGACATCTTAGAAGGTCATGTGTGAACAGTTCATCCATATAAGGAACAGTGCAATGACTTTCTAAGAAATTATGTTTACTCCCTTCCCTTCTGTGTAAGAGTCAGCCTTTAGCAATAAAAAACCATATAAGTTATGTACTATTTCTCGATTTAGTCAGCAGAAATATTAGCCACAGAAGTGGGAGTAATGGGGACATGAATGAAACCCCGTTGAAAAGAGAATAGATATAAGAAAATCAATGTAAAGAAGAAAGTGAGATGATGGTCACTTTTTCACCCTTAAAATGAGATTTTCAGAATAGAGATAAAAGGGAGTCAGAGAAGAGGGTTCTCCTCTACAGTGTTAGTGGTGGAGAAATATCAAACGACAGGCTGTCAGTTAGGAGAACAGATTCCTGGCATATGTACACTAAAGAGAAAAATTTCCTTTTATCTTTTCTGTGCTTGGCAAGCTGCAGAGAGTTTCCCAGAGTGCTAGAGAAGCTGCCTCCATGCACATACCTGGGAACAGGTGGACAAAATTAGCCGTCAATCTTGGAGTGTCACTGTCTGCTTTGTTTCCAATATGATATTCTTGATTTTGCAGGTGGAGCTGCACAGAGGATGTAAAACAAACATATTTTTGTCTGCCTCTGATTAAACTAACGATAAACCAATAACTGCTGCTCAGAAAAGAGAGAGAGAAAAACATCTAAAGTTCATGCTGTCAGGATGAATTCTATCTCCAACTAAACATTTTCACGCCTGATAAGATTTCACTTAAAGCAAAGATTAAGCCATATGTCACCTTAGTCACTGATATTTAATTTGCATATGCCGATCTCATGTATAGGAAGCTGTTCTCAATCAGTAGAGTGGGTAGTACTTAGCAATTCAGAGGAAATGCCGACTGGTAGGCAAATGATTTCTACCAACTTGCTTCCACAGAAACCCAAATGTTATTGTGATTGATTTTGCCCTTTTGTTCCATAAAGGTACGTTCATCCCTGAGCTTCCTGACTAATCATTTCACACTAGAGCTGGTGAGAGGGAAGAAAATGTGTTGTTCCTTGTAGACCATGCTCGATCACTGCTTCGTTTCTCCATATATCCACCCACTCATGCACGCCTCCACCCTCTCATCCATCCATCCATCCATCCATCCATCCATCCATCCATCCATCCATCCATCCATCAATCCATCCATCCATTTGCAGTCAATTACCCAAACAGCAACTACTGAAAATATATTTGACCATGAGTAAGGATATCAGTTTTGATATTAGATGGTTAACAATGAGTCAAGGAACAGAAATTAATTTTTTCTTAAAAACTTCTAAAAGTCCCCTTCTGGAGGAAGCCAATATCATGAGAAAAGAAATGTGACACCAGTCAATCAGCTGAGTGTTATACTGAAATAAAAGTTTAAAAAAATAAAAAACACATTTATAGGCAAAATGTTATCTATTTTCTTTCTCTGAAATAAGTATATTGTGACACTTGTGATGTGATTTGAATAAATAAATATTGGTAAACTTAGGACACACATAGTTTTTGCTTTTTCCCTTAAGTGCCAAAGGTTTCTGGGTTTTAATTTCTTGTCATAGCTAGAAATTTTCTCTTAGGACACTGGAGGACAGAGCAACATTATTCTCTCAACCCTTGAAGATATATTCTATGCCAGAACCAATATAAATGATACGTGCAACCAGTGATAATCCATAGATTTAAGTGTATGTAGATCTGCTTATGTATATATGCTTGAATCCATGTACATACGGATATATAATGCACTTTATATGACAGAATGAATAAATGACTTCATGTTCTCTGAGTTTTTTAAGGCATGTTAAAATGCTAAATTAGTTCTTTTGGCTAATAGAACAATTTTTTAACTTATACTTAGCTAAGTAAATATAAATGTCTTATCCCCCTTCATACCAGCTATGTAAATTATCAATAATAAGCTCACAATGACTTGGCTGGTGCTTAGTTCATTGAAATCCCACTCTACTTAACATAATGAAAAGGTGAGCATAGACCTTAAAACATCTATGCACTAATCATTTCCTTTATTTAAGTATGTGAATGAAATGACAAGCAAAAAGATAGTAACCTGTTAACATTCTCCTGAGTTCTATATTGTGTGATTTCCTTCCTGAAGAAAACACCACAAAGAAACGCTTTTCACATTGGCTGAAGGAGACATAAACTAATCTCTTTCTATGTAGACACCTGTGTTTTCCTGTATTGATGCCGTCTGGGCTGCTGTCCTTGATGATCAGCAAAGTTTAATTTAGTATGACCTCCAGCTGGCCTACTTTCTAATCTGTAAAAATGCCAGCCAGAAGATCACTTACTGAAAGATTTCTGCCAGGAGAAAAACAACTACCACATAAGGTTCATGCAACCAAAGTCTATCAAGATGGCTCCTACACTTCTAGGACCAAGAAATAATCAGATCTTTGTCACTATTTCATTCCAAACTGACTCTAGCCATTTGACCCTTATGAGAAAAATGTTTTCATTTACATATTTGTATTGGATATTTTCTGCCATTTTTCTCACCTGTAAAGAAGTTGGATTTCATTGAGTGATTCCGGCCTTACAGTGTATGATGAAGGAAATTACCTCTCCTCCTAGAGAGTCAAATGACGTCAAACAGAAGATTTACAAATAGTCAATACAACCAACCAGACATTTGCTTAAATATTTGTACAGTAAAGTTGCTATGGGCGCATGACCTCTGATATCAACACATTATCATCATCTTCCTAACAGGTGAGCAATGATTGGTTGCTTATCAAACTTCTCTGTACATAGGTATCATTTTCCTAGTTTGAATTCTGCTTCTGTCCTCTAAAACAGATACAGTTTTTAATAACACTTTCCCCCAACCCAAGATATTGATGTTGGTTGGTGGGGATGGGGACTTTAAAGATTTGGAGGATTAAGAGAGATCTGCCCTAGTGAATAGTTAACACTGTGTTTACCAGAATGGACTATTGAGGAAGTTTAGTTCTCTTCTTCAGGAGACCGTAAGCCAAATCAACTGGATGTCACTGCCATGTTCTTGAATTTCCAAGCTGTGAGCCACAATAAGACTCTCTCTTTTATAAGTTATCCACCATCAGCTATTCCTCTAAAGAAACAAAATATGACCTAAGATGCATTGTGTGTCCAGATCAAGTCTCCTGAAATTTCCATGCTTAAGTTTTTTCATCAGTTTGATTATTTTTTCCTTCATAACCCAATGGTCTCTCTCTGTCATAAATACTTGCTCTGTCTCCTACATTGTCTCCCCAGTGATAAGAAACAACATATTTCTGAAAGCATGTCAATGCATTCTCAGCCCCCAAACACTAAGCTTCTTCACATGATAAGAGACTTCAACTACACCAAGGTCACAATTAGGGCTTCTCATTAACTAAACTATAGAAACATTGAATTCTGTGTAATATTTTAGTAACCATTCAGCTTAGTAACTCAGCTTAAAATGGTCATTCTCCACTTCCATGTATAATAATAATAATAATAATGATAATAATAATAATAACAACAACTATTAAAAAGTAAATACTATCTGATTTCTTTAATCACTAATTTTTCATTAAATAATACTCCAAACCATTCCTATGGGGCCAAACATTTCCTTATCATTACACTTATCACATCAAATTTTCAGCCTGGATGTCTGAGTTTTTTGCAGGCTCATATTGTTCTTTCTTTCTTTCTTTCTTTCTTTCTTTCTTTCTTTCTTTCTTTCTTTCTTTCTTTCTTTCTTTCT